TGTGCCTTCTGACCCCACCCCCCCCAGCTCTGATACCATCTGCAAAGAATTTTTATGCCTCTACGTTCTGATCTTTCCTGGAAAGAAACTGTAACTGGCTAAAGCTGATGAATAAAAATGAATAGGTCACGCATGTGTGTGAAGGAATCCCGGGTAGCCTCAAATCAATTATGCACGTGCGCGAATGAATGAGGCAGGCCCGTACCTAAATTATGCAGATGTAGGCAGCGGTCTGTTGACTTGTGGGAAATAAATTAGGCAAACGTTTTAAAGGAAGACTAGGCAGTATGTTGGTTAAGACGCTGGACACATGACAGGCAAATAAGTATGTGAATGTCGGTGTAAAAGATGCAGCTGTGGGTCTCGATGTTGTCTCACTATTGGAGTAAATTATGCAAAGTGGTCTTTGCTGCGGACTGGGTTTACACCTATGGATGTGGGTATAAATTACGGTGAAGTGGCATGCATTATCCTAACATCAGAAATCAATTATGAATAATTCATGAACGGTGCAAGGCACACGACTGCGTATCTGGTAAAAACAGAGTTAGATTACAAAGATGTGGGCATGTTATCTGTGCACGTCCAGGGATACATTATGCAAATTGCACCAAGTTACCCCAGTGGATTAGCACTGTCGGAAAACACAAGGCTGGATTATTCACCCACGGCACGAATTGTACAAACGGGGGATGTCTTATTGCAAAAGCGAGAATAAATTATGCAAAAGGCAGGGCGTGTAGGAAAATGTGAGCATACCTAGCGAACACCTGGCCGGACTGCAGTATGCACTGCACACGTCAGAAGGACTCTGTTAGCATATGTGTCGCCTGTGAGTTAAAGGTGCCCCTTCTGGAAGGGTCCGTTGAAGATGGTGCCCTCCTCTTGGCAGGTAAGCCCTTTCCAGGCCTCCAGCGCCATCCAGACACGGCTTGGGAGCAGCCGCCGGACTCCAGCCCCAACCTGCCCTCTCCGGCCCGGAGCGCCCTGTGCGGCGTGTGACATGCACAGCCACACCTGTGGCCCTCTCAGATGTGAGCATGCATTTCTACAGATACCTGCGTCGACTCTCCAAGCCCAAGGAGTCCCCTCCACCGCCCTCACCACCACCCCCACCTCTGGATTTTGCAGACACCCACGCACCGAGGAGGTGTCCACGGGTCCGTGCTCACCTGCACCACACCGGGGGAAAAGACCGCAAGGATGAGATAAAGCCAGACATAGGCGAATATACTCCATGAGGCGGTGACAAAGAAGACCCTCAGATGCTTGATCTTGCGGCTCTCGCCGGCCGGGATGACGTAGATGCACACGGCGATGACCACGAACATGTTGAAGGCAGCGCTGCCCACGATGGTGCCCGGGCCCAGCTCGCCGGCCTGGAAGTTGTGGCCGCAGACCTCGATGACAGACAGCAGGATCTCCGGCGCCGAGGAGCCCAGGGCCATGAGCGTGAGGTTGGACACGGTCTCATTCCAGATGCGGACGGTGCCCACACTGGTCTCGCCATTGGCCTTGGTGATGGTGATCTCCTTCTCCTTCGACGTGATGACCTCGATGGAAGCCATGAAGCGGTCGGCGATGATGGACACGCCCAGGAACATGTAGACCATGGCCACAAAGTAGACCACTGCCCTCGCCGCCTTGTCGCCCAGCGACGGGTCGTCGGGCTCCCAGACGGGCAGCAGGACCCCCGGCTGGCAGCGGTTGGAGCCCTGGCAGACGCCCGTGCTGGCATCGCTGTCATTGGCCGGGGGAGGTGGTAGAGATGGGGTCGGGGTGGCCGCCCCTGAGCATGGGGGGACCCCTAGGAGGAGGGCAACCCCCACCAGAGCCAGGGGAGCCATGGAGGGTGGCGGGGTTCTGTGGGGGAGGAGGAGGAAGGCTGGGTGAGGAGAGCACACTGCCCGACACGCAGGAGTCAAGGCTTTTCCGGGGTGGAGGATGGGGAGGGGGAGCTGAGGACTAACACGGGGAGGATGGAGGCTGAGGGAGACACCGAGAGACATACACACAGAGACCAGGAGAGCCCGAGACAGACACCAAGGGAGAAAGGGACAGAGAGACAAGGACAGACGCACAGCGTCCGGACGTCGTGCACGCTGCGGCTCAGCAATTCCGCTCCCAAGTATGTACCCGAGAGAAACAGGTCACGTGTCTGCCAAAGGACACGGACGAGAGCGGCGCCAGCAGCTTCGGCTGCAGCAGCTCCCGTCTGAAACGACCCAGACGCCTGTCCGCGGTTAAACGGAGACGTGAGGCCAGGACCACTCACTCTGGGGAGTATTACCCGGCACTGAAAAGGGGAGCGGCCGACGGATTCGCCGAGCGACACAGAGGAAGCTCGCAGCCCTGTGACGCGGGAACAGAGCCAGGCACAAAGCAACACAGACCGAGTGATTTAGTGGGCGGGCGAGCGCCCCGAGGGGCTGCTGGCATTCGTTAGGTGATTCTGTGGTTTGGGTTTTGGCCCTCGGGGCCTCTGCTCCGGATTTCGTGGTGGGTGGGGGGTGTCTGTCTGTCTGTGTGTCTCAGGTGGAGCTGGGGAGGGGCCGCTGGAGGCCGTCACGCCCTTCCCCACAGTGGTGGCAGGTGTCTCTCTCCAGTCCCCCGGGGTCTCGGCGAGGGACACAGCTCCTTGGCGGCTGTGACGTATGAGCCCCGTATTGGGCTTTCTGTCCCGTTGGTGGGTGTGGGGTCTCTAACTGTTTCAGCGGCTCCCTTCCTGCCTCTGGTCCTGGGTTCGAGTGGCTATTTCTGTGCCTCGTCTAGGTTTCCTTTAAAAATGCAGAACAGTTCACACCCTGCTTCTGCTTGGAACCCCTCCTGGCTCCCTCCTCACTCAGAGCCCCGTGGTCCTCTGCCTGGGTCAGAGGTCCCTCTCTGGCCTCATCTCTCTCCTCCCCTTGGCTCACTCGGCCTCGTCCGCACTACGACCTCGCGGTCCTCAGGCGCACCAGACAGGTTCCTGCCTCAGGGACCTGCTGTCCCCCACCCCGTTCCTCACACACTCTCCCTGGCATCGTCTGCGCTCCCTTCCATCCAAAGGACACCAGCCTCCTTTGGGAAGCCCCCAGCCATTGCACAGAGCAGAGGACCAAGGCTCGGAGGGGTCGAACACCAAAGCTGCAACTCTGTTTCTCTCTCCCAGAGCTGGCCCTGCCCCCGTGTTGCCATGGTAACCCAGGAGCCTCTAAAAGAGGAACTGAAATTGGAAGCGGAGGGTCCTCCGAGCCTCCAGCCCTAGCCCCTCTCCTGGCCCCCAGCCTCAGTTCTCCCAGTACCTTCCATTTCTGTCTGAAAAAAGTTCTCCCCAGAGTCTAACCCACAGCCTTCTCCCAACACACACCCACCTACTCACGTACTCCCAGGGGCGGGGAGCTGCTGCTCCCAGGGACGGAGGAAGAATGTTGGCAGAACTTCCCAGAGGAGCCAGTGCGTGTGTGTGAGTGTGTGTGTGCGCGTGTGTGCGTAGGCGAGGGAAGAGGGGTGATTCTTAAAGGGCCACCACACAATTAGCCCCATTGGATAGGCCCCTAATAACATGTCTAATTAGCAGCCCCCTAATTAACAACAACTTAGGCATAATTACAAATCCACCAGGATCCAAAGCTCTTCCCCCACCCCGCCTCCTCCCCAGCTTTCAGGGGGGACAAGGGCCACCTGGCAGTCAGAATTCCAAAGCATCTAACTCCCTCTCTCATGTGAAAGCTGTGGCTGCAAGTCCTCCCTTGAGGCCGACCACCCGTCCCTCCCGCCTCAGCCCTCAAGGGGGACCGAAGTCAGCCGATGGGTGCCATGCCGGCCCTCCCTGCCCGGGGGCTGGGCAAAGTGGCCTGGTTCCGTCCCTCTTCCTCTAAAACCCGGTTACCTCTCACTGAGGACTCAGGACAGGAGAGGGCAGGGAGAGAAAGCACCAGATAAATATTTGGGAGATGAGCAACCCAGAGGTCTGAGCGCCGTTGCCGGGGACAGCTGGATTCCCTCCGCGTGAGGCGCCCGCCTCTGCCTCCCTCCGTCCACCAGCAGCCCTGAAACCTAATCTGGGTGTACAATCCAGGAGCAGAAGGATCAGGTTGAGGCCCGGGGTGGGGGTGGGGGGGCAGATGGCTGCCCTGTCGCCCAGGGCCATCTCTCCCCACCCTTGTGGGCCGGTGGCCAGCTGGGTCGGTGAGAGCACCCCAGCTCTGCCTCACACACCTCTCAGGACTTCATCCGTAGAGTAGGACTACAAGCTTAATGGGGGGCAGTCCAGTCCTGGTGGGACACCTTCCCTCATTCCCCCGCAAACCTGCGAGGGGGCTGGTGGCTCCCGACTGTGCCCCTGGTGGGACACCTTCCCTCATTCCCCCGCAAACCGGCGAGGGGGCTGGTGGCAGGGGGCAGGGGGTGCCTGCCGCCCCTGTGAGGGATATGCAAAGTGGGGGTGCAGTCTTCTACATTCTACACACTTACGCAGTGCCCTAGCTTGGGGATCACACATGCTCGTGCACACATGTGAGTGTGCACACACGTCTTGGTGCTCAGGCCTCTGGTGCACGGACGGGTGAGCTGAAGTCCGGCGGGGGAGAGAGCTTGGCCCAGGCGCGCGGCTTCGAGTCAAGGGCGGAGCAGTGACAGACACGCACGCACACACGCGTGGGACTCCCAACCCGGGCAGCACCTGAGGACTGCGTGGGCTGCGGCTCAGGCTCACACTGCTCCCCTTGCCACTCACTCTGGCCTACCTTCTCTGGGGCCCCCTTCCCTCCAGGAAAGAAGGGGCCTCTAGACTCAGAAGGACCCCTCTCCGAGCCCCCGAGGGGTGGTAGAGAAGCTTTTGAGATCCAGCTCCACTGAGAGACAGGGCTGAGGCTTGCACACCATGAGGGGGATGAGGTGAGGCTGCAGGAGGGACTAGCCCGGCCCGGCCCGGCCCGGCCCGGCCCGACCTGGTACTGAGTGCTATGTCTGGAGCGGGAAAGCTGCTCTGTAATCATCAAAAGCATGAACGAGTCACGGATGGACAAACAGCAAAAGAGGTGTGAAAGTTAGATCACAGGAAGGCCCGGCCCATTCTTTAGGAAGAGGAGTGGGGAGGTCAGACCGAAGACAGGACGGGGTTCGATCTCCACCGCAAGGGGTACAGCCGAGACCCCAAGAGGGGCTGGCTTCAGAATGCCTGAAACAAGGCAACGCAGGAGCTCAGGAGAGGCGTGGGGCGGACGCCGGCCAGAAGGATGGGTGGGAGCCCTGCCGAAAGAGGCAGGAGTTTGGGGGACTCCTCACCCTCGGGGCAGGGGGAGGGGGCGGAGCCTACTCCACAGGGCGGATCTTCTTCCTCCAGGTCTCCCCGTGCCAGGGGCGGAGACAAAGGTGTGTAGGAGGAGAGTTAACCGGCTATACCGGGGAGAGGAAGAGGAAGGAGAGAGAAGCTGAGCCCAGATACCTAGAGACGGAGATGGGAACGGAACGAGGGAGAGAGCGGGGAAGGGGCAGGGAAGAGCCAGGACACACACGCGGAGATGGGAAGAGACGGAGAGGCAGAGAGAGAGGCACGGGGACGCTGAGACGGTAGAGAGAGACAGAAACACACAGAGATGGCGAGAGAGGAAGGCAGAGAAATCTGGGACTTGAGAGACAGCGCGGAAGACACAGACCAGACCCGGGAGGGGAGGGCACAAGAGTGAGAGATCGAGAGCGCCTGGGACACGGGAGAGGGACCCACAGAAGCAGCCAGACTCCGCAGGGCAGAGACCCCTGAGGGATGTGCACAGACAGACACACGACACCCAGACACAGGAAGTCGGGGGCGGAGGTACAGGACAGGAGAGTGGGGGCTTCCCCAGACGGGGTGGGGTGTCCTCGCCCCCTCAGTGCCCAGGAGGCACCCCCTCCCAGCCCGCCATGCTCCCTGGAACGCAGGAGGGGCTGAGGATGTTGGCTGCTGGTGGCGCCCTCACCCCGTGGAAAGGCCCTGGTGTCCCCACCCGGGGTAGGCAGCCCCCCACCCACCACAGACGACTTCAGGGAATAGCGGCTCCCGGCTCCTCAAACGCCCCCCCACACCCCCGGTAACATCGTCCTTCTCCCACGCCCCCCCCAACTGGGGGTCTCTTACCTGCAGTTGCAGCCTGGAAAAGGTCCCCCCAGCACTGGCTGGCAGTGGTGGGCGACTCTGCCAACCGAGAGAGAAAAAGAGAGAGAGAGAAGGAGAAAGAAAGCGAGAGAGAGGGAGAGAGAGAGGGAGAGACAGAAGAGAGACAGGAGACGGAGAGGAGCTGTG